CTCTGAGGGGGCCAAAATTTCGCCCCCTATAGACAGCGATGGGGTCAGCTGACTATGCCGAGGCGCCGGCAACCACAGCCACTCGGTCTTGGAAGGGTTGAGTCTGAGTCTGTTCCTCCCCATCCAGACCCGTACGGCCTCCAGGCACCGGGCCATCACATCAAGGGCATCGTTGGGGTGACCTGGGGTGGAGATGTACTTTGTATTATATTTTAAGGCAATATGTTATATCGAAATATTGATTTCCATGATTCCAAGTCACATAAAAGAGGAAGAGATCCAATATACACCACAGCACTTAATTTTTTCTATATTTATTATTTTAATAGATTTTAAAAATAGGAATATGTATTCTAGGAAGCATAAAATATGAATGGAATTTGCTTTAGGTTTTTTTATAGATACCAAAAATCATAAATATTTACAGCTATTAATGTTGAGTTTATTCTTGTTACTGCCCTTTAAAGGTGGACAAGCTGCCATCACTTATCTGAGGAGCCATCTCACCTCAATGGGACTAGCTTGCCCCACTGGAGCCAGCGGAAGAAGCCTGCCACAGATGCATCTGCTGAGGAATTCTGGCAGGTGGGATCAGGGAGAAGAGCTTTTTCTGCCATGGCCCCATTCCTGTGGAATACTCTACCAATGGAGAACTGCTACCACCCTTTTAGTCTTCTGGAAGTGTATTAAAACTTGGCTTCGGCAATTGGCTTGGGGCCTCAAGAGGGGCACTCACCACTGGGAGGAGTGGACGGGATAAGAAGACTTTATCCCTGTTTTTTGGTATGGTTTTAAATTTTTAATTTGCATAGTTTTAATACTTTAATTATTTTTCTATTTGTCTTTTTATAATTTGTAAGATGCCCAAACTCACCTATAGGGAAAATGGGTGGCATAAAAATTTAATTAATAAATAAAGTTTAATAATTTTATGTTCTCTAACATTTCATGAATTCTGTTCAGTTATACTCCAGAAATTTCCAGTGCAAGCTAAAAATTAAATTTGTAGTCATGTTTATAGAAATTAATAGCATACATAACACATTTCAAGGGCATGTAATTTTAATGCAAGGTTCCTCATATGTTAACAGGAGTGGGATAGATCTGAGGGTCTCTGGCAGAAGGGGGTGGGACCAGGGCAAGTGCCAAGGCATGGTCCACTGGAGGAGCCTCACTGTTCCTCTCAGGCCATGCGGTGGGGGGTTTATGGAGCTAAGACTGAATGCGTTTCAACATAGATGGCCACCACAAAATTATACATTGGCTCCCAGCTGGCCCGGGGGCCGTTCCCTCACTGTTTCCAGGATGGCTTCGCGGACCATATGAAACCACTTCATGGGCCGCATCTGGCCCCCGGGCCTTGTGTTTCACATGTCTGGTCTAGACATACATCTGAGAGCTAAAAGTGATTAGGAAAGCAATTCATGCAAGCCATACTTACTTCTTTAGACCCTTGTACCAATTTTCATTCTGTTGTACAAAATATTGGACCCTACACGTACATCAATACTTAGACTGGACATACATATACCGTATCCTACTCGAATACTTTTGGTCCTTATATCAGATGTGAACATAACCCAATCTCCTTTCTGTGTAGGTTAGATCCAGGATCTACATTTTGTAGGACTGTGCAAAGGATTCAAAGGAGCTCTTTGAGTGACACAGGTCACTAAAGCAAAGCTGTGCTACAGGGGAGCTGATTCAAAAGCTTTCCCAGATTATAACTGCATACACATGCACTTCACTCCTGTCAATCCCAGGGGAAGTGCTATCTCTACATGCATAGAGGCTACATGATAAGGTCTTAAATAAGTCACAACTTGACTCTCGTGCCTTAACACTTTTAAGGTGTGATTTGTTTGTGCCAACATGCTTGGTGAAACTATTCTTTGAGTGCTTTTCACTAATATTTTCATAAATGTATTTGATCCAGGAGGCAAGTGAATAGAAAGGACACCCAGAAATATAACATAGACAAATAGAAAGGATTAAGAATAATAGAAAGAGACAAGGAACTAAGAATATACATAAGCCTGAGACAACATTGGTTTCTGAGCTTCCAAAGAACACTGTCTGAAAATTTAAAACATGAAGGACCATATGTGGTATGTAGTAAAATTAAAATTTGCACCTATACAGATGCACTTGTGAGCACCCAATCACATACATGCAAACACACACACCTTTTCTTACTTTAATATGTTTGGGTGTGAAAGTCTATTCATGAGCTGAACTTCTTTCAACATATTTGCACGATTGCTGCTTAGTGTATTCATTTTCAGGGCCATGACTTGATCTGATACTCTATGCCGCACCTAAACAAATACAAAAAAGAAAAAAGATGAATTCATTTTCCCGGCGGAACATAAGAAAAAGCCATTGATTCAACATAGCCTATAACATGCAATTTTATTTAAACCACTCTTGACAAATAAACATTCCCACAGCTTTAGAGGTTATGTAATTTCATTCTGCTTTATTAATCTATGTACATTTGCTTATGCAATTAGTGAAATCTGGATCCATGAAAAAATGCATATATTTCCTTTTTATTACTTCATTGGCAAATTAGCATGTTTAAAGGATTGATGTACACATTAGTACGCATTTCATATTTCACAAGCCATAAAGTCTTTTGTGGTACTTCTACAATAGACAGCTACTGTTATACATCATAATGCTAACAAAAATAATGTATTTTAATCATTGGACCTCTTGTTCGAATGCTAATATTCTACAGTGAAGTTTTCTGAGTTGTCCAGTGTTCGCAGTTGAACACATTTCCTTCAACTGCAGTTATTAACTGGAAAACCATTGGAAAGGCTTTACTTCTGGGCTGGGTGGTACTTCCTGGGCTGATGGCTTTTGTTTGAAGACCAAGTAGAGGCCACAACCAGGATGGTCTTTGTCCAACTTTGGCTGGTGTGAAAAATGTGGTCTTTCCTGGAGTAGGGGCACTAAGGACAGTCACTCCCATCCTTTCTGCCAGGTTACTGTAATTTATATGGTACTGTCCTTAAAAGACTACCTTGAAACTTCAGTTGGTACAAAATGCAGCTGCACAGATGTTTTATAGGACAGAATGCATGAAGAGAGAGTGTCTGCTGTGGATCCCAATATACTGTGGTATTCGAGAAGAGGAGGCGTGGAATCAAGCATTCCGTTACTGTATTTGCTCTGGAATGAACAGCAGCTTTCCCTTTAGAATATTCCAGAATCTTATCAAGACATGACTATTCTGGAAGGCCCTTAGTCATTTCCCCCATCCCCAAGTTTAGAATGATGAAGCACTACAAATAAATGTGGATGAAGAATATTATAGTATTACAATTAGTATTAGGTTGTGATATTATTATTGTATTGTTTTATATGACTGTTTTTTATCATGCCTATAACCGGATTATGAACTACATGGGTTGACTGTAACGGGATGGAATAAAATTTCATAAGTCAACCATATGGTATATTAGAATACAACTAGTATAAGTCCTTGGGTTTCATGAGACACTTAAACAGGAGACATCATAAATCAGTTCATCAAACAGAAAAGAAAATGTACATACAATATATATTCCCAAACTACAGAGGATTGTGTTTTGGAGTTTTATTTATTTTTTATATTGGGTTTTTTGTTTGTCTCATTGGTTGCAGTTTTTTGCATTTGGGTTATTTATTTTTTACTTTTGATTCTTAAATTTTTGGGACTTCTTTGCTTTGAGTGTTTTACTGATCACATTACATTTAAATATTATCAAATTTATGATTATTATCAAATTTATTTGCTGCCCATCTTATGGTTCAAGGTGACTCTGGGCTGCTTACAATAAGATGTCAATAATTATTTTAATCAAGAAATAAAGCCAGGTTATCATTAAATCATTTCTATTGTAAGTTTCCAATATATCACTTGATCTTCCATTACAATTTTTTAAAAATGGCACTGTGTGGCCTATAATTCTAAATGATGGTGTACAATACAAACCTATAACTACTGAGCCACTCCCTTGAGACCAAATGCCAAGATCAATGCCTGTGAAAGGAAGTTATCCTGAACGCCACCTGTTCTATAGCTAAGAAGAATGTTTTTTTCAAACTAAATCAAATTGAGATATAAATATTTATCTAATAGTGAGAACTAAAAATAAGCATTAAACTTTGCCAACAAATGCATACTCTGCAATCAACAAAGAGACAGAAATACTGTAACTAATTTTTAAAATAATCCTATACATTATGTTTTAAATATTGTTTCATGTTATTATAACTGAAGGTACATAGATTTAGATATAGAATAGGTTGATAGAACTTAAGTTTCCCTGAAAATACTGAGATATTGGATTACAACAGAGCCCAACTTTGCTTAATTAATCTAGACCAATACAACACGTAGAACATTGAAAAAGTGTCACCTTGTTTGCAAGTTAGTATATAGTAAGAGGAAGTACGTACTTCCAGTTTTAAAAACTAATTCATAGGAATTTGCACAAGCAGCAAGGAACTGTGGCTACACAGTGTTTACATCAATAAACCTCATGTTCTAACTGCCAAAATGAAAACTCTTCACATCATCCCCCATTAGCATCTATGATACTAAATTAAATTTGGTAAGAAATCCAAAGTATTTGTTTCCTAGAATCAACTGAACGTGAAGAAACTGAAATTTAAACAGTAGGTCTATTATTAATCATTTATCAAATTTGAATTATTATTGTATGAGATTTAAATTCATAACTTTTTATAATAGTGATTAGATTGGGGAGGACTTACAATAAGGTAATAGTTTTCATAGTCAACATAGTATTCCCTTGGTAAAATGCATACATATGCACAAATGTGTGTGTATGTGTGTGTGTATGTGTAGAAAGAGAGAAAGAGAGACTGTATTTAATATATACAATATGTATATGTAAATATGAATTTAAACTACAGACTTTTATTTACTTTTATCTCACATTTTAAAGAGCAGCCTTAAAACAGTCAGGTTAAGAAACACTAATGCATACAATGAAACTCTTTGGATTTGGGAAATGTATTGCTTATCTTAGGTTTTCTATGCCATATGATTATTTTGCAGCTGCTACTTTATCTTTCCTTTTTATTTGTTTCCTTTCTCATATCTTTATTTGCCACAGTCTTCTTCTACTATATTCTTCCTCTTCCCTTTTCAAAGAAGATTAGGCTGTGGTTTTTATACTAAATATCAGAATACAAACAGATGAAATACTATGGTCTTATTTTTACAGCTAGGTTGCTCCAAAATTATTTTTCCTCCATTAGATACATCAGCAGGACAGACTACAGAAAGAAATCTCATAATCATGATAAAATATATTAAAATATGTTTTTAAAAAAGGAAGATTATAGTATTATTCAAATGGTAATATTCTCTGAAATACATTCATTTTACAATCTTAGCATACTTAGAATTAAAGGCCCAACTTGACTAACAACATTGCTAGAATTAAATACAGATCAAATTATAATAAAAATCATTTAGTCTTAAATTTAGCCACCCTAAATATTTAAAAATAAACCCTAGGCATTTCTGTACAGTCCTAATATAGCAAGCTGTAATTAGTTGCAGTGCATTTTGACAGAAGGACATCTATCAACTATACTTGTTTTGCTTCTAACAGATCTCTCCTTGTAAGTTTAACCACACAGAGAAAGTTTCTGTGAATTAGCCACAAAGAAACTAATTTTCCAGATTACAAAACCTCCCTATCTGGGATTTCCCCCTTAGAAAATAAACACTACATGTTCTTAAGTATCTCAAATAGACAGCTAAAAGGAAAGAATACAGTATCAGCCAATTATTGGAGAATATTCATCTATTTCTCATCCTATCACATCTTATTCAATGGGCTTGTTCACATGGTAACTCAAGCCATAGCATGTCACTCAAAGTGACTTCTGATACGTAGCTGGGTTTATAACAGGGACCCTTCATTATAAGTGGCAACCCTGCTTATAGTACATTAGTTCATCTGAACCCTGTCTCACATGCTATTCAAATCCAGACAGAGTTGTTAAGCAATGACTAACTCCTCTTTCCAGCTTCCAAACACAGAATCAGTGAACAGGAGTAGCTATAATTTTAATTCTTACTGCAATTGTCTCCATTGCTTTTAGTTTAACTGAAGAACATTTTTTTTTTTTAAAGTAACAGCAGTATTTCACCATTCTGCACATGACAACCACACCATTTGGGATAGACAGGGAGTTTCAGGCATAAATTAAGCAAGCTATTTCGACCTTGGAGTCTGAAGGGATCTCTCAAAATTTCAGGGTTTTTTTTTCATGTTTTAAAGTTTTATTCTAATTTCATATCTGAAGTCTCCTAAATTAAGCCCTCATTAATTAATATATTTTTGCATTCAGGTGTGGGCCTTCTCCATACCACCATAAATTTGTTACGCATTTTGCTAGTGTAAGTTGCAAAACATAAATTGAATTGTTACACAGCCTTATTCTCTGTTAATGCTTGCCAAATATAGTAGCTTCCCGCAGCTTAAGGTCTCACCATGTGTAAATCCAACGCTGGGGATGGGAAGGATTTTTTTTTTTAATCAAGCCTGAAAGGTTTACCTAGTGATTGTTGGGGTGCCTAGGATACCAGAAGAGGGACTGAGCTCTCCATGAACAGGTCTCTTACTCTTTCAGGGGTTCTCAACCTTGGCAACTTTAAGACTTGTGGACTTCAACTCCCAGAATTCCTCAGCCAGCTTTGCTGGCTGAGGAATTCTGGGAGTTGAAGTCCACAAGTCTTAAAGTTGCCAAGGTTGAGAACCCGTCTTAGATAATTCAAAAACTGGATAGGCATGTTGTATAAACACCTATCCACCATCTAGAAAATGAATAGTAAAAATGTGGCTTTATTTTCAAATTATCCTTAGATAAGCAGAATTTAATTGTGTCAGGGAATGATTCTACAATGGTTACCTTATTAAAAGGAAACTTAAAGGTCAAAAATCAAAATGCAACTTCTTTAACCTGGATTTACACTTTGAATTTTGACCACACACACACAGAATGTTTGTAAAGACTAATGTAGCTATTAAACTTGAATATACAATTTAAAACCAGAATACTGATTGTGTATCTCCACTTTTTCTAGTTTTCTGGTAAATCATGGAGGATGTATTAAGAAAATAACTATAGGTATTGGATACCATTGTCTATGACTTTGTTTTCTATAGCAAAATAGAGATAACTATAAATCTGAACCTTATCAGCAGTCACAGTCCATAGCAAACCTTGCAGTTGGAATGAGCTGATGAGCAATTACTTTGATAATTTCTTTTTGGTGAAATTCTACTTTGAAGGAAGCCTACCTGAATGCTATATCAGATTTCTTCAAAATGCATTTAAAACCTCCTTTATGTTTTTTTTAAATACAAGTATACTGTATTATCACTTACATTTTAACATTTCATTTTTGTTCTGTATATTTATATGTTTGTTACTTTATGTTTTTATTCAAATCACTGGTTCTGTTTGGAAAAAGGAAGTTAAATAGGTAAATATAATGTACTATATATGTTTCTGAAAGTAACGTGAACAAATTATTCAACGACATTTTTTTATATCATTTCATTTAGAATCTTTGTCACACAATTAATTTTGCATATTCAAAACTTTTCAGGGAAAGACTATTGTACTATAACTAGGCTGCAAAAAACAGAAAATCACATGACAACAAAAGATTTCCCACCATTAATGGTCATTTGTATTTTTGCAGTCAAATACAGTAACCCTATATATTATACAGAACACAGCATTCATTATGTCTTGCTCCAATTACTGTATTAAAGAGAAGATGAGGAAATAATTGTCATTACTCACCTTGAATACTTCAGAGAAGAAACCAGATCCTATTTTCTCACAGGAGAAGTCATCAAGTCTTGTAAGTCTTGAAAAGGCACTTATCAAGGCTTTATATGAAGAAGTCCAAACTCTGCCCATCTGGGACATGGTCCCATCACTTCCGCCACCCCCATCAAAGTCTTCAATGCGCTCTAAACGTGGTGGAAATCCCGCTATTGAATTTCGCTTGCTCCGATCCATTTTGTAAAAACAATCCTTTAGAAGAAGGCCTCTCACATCTTAAGTGGTTGATCTCTGTTTCTTCCCTCTGGCTGAATACTGAAAATGAAGGATACATCAATGTTTTCTTTTTCCAAATTTTTTTTATTAAAAAAAAATTAAAATGTGTGAAATTTACATGGGACAAATAAAGAAGAAGAAAAAAGAAAATTTGATTATTCAGGGGTAAATTACCAGATAATGGTAAGATTTCGGTCCAGGAGATCAGAGGAGGAGGTTCAACAAATTATTTATTTCCATTTAGGTGACAGTACATGTTCATATAGTAAATGATTTAGTAAACTGTTGTAGCTAGTAGAGATAGTATGTCTCATCATTTTCTCTATAAAATATGGAATAATTTCATCCAAAACTTGCATTTATACAATATGTTAGTCTTTGCTAAACATTTGTAAATGTAAAACTGTCAAGCACTAGTACTCCAAAGAAATAATTCAATAATTGAAAATAGTGACTGGTTTTATTTCACAATATTTTAGATCAGCCTAAAGGTATTTTCCATCTGAATTGCCTTTCAATTGACTGTCAAGTATCTACACTGCATAGTAGGTTAGGGGAAATTCATTTTAATTATAAAAGGTTTCATGATACAAATATTTCATCTCAGTTACCAAAGAAAAGTCAGAACATAGTAACTTGGCCAGGTACTCCCTCTTTAGATGGAGTTCAGATATGTGCTTTCCCCCAGCCATAATATTTTAAATAAGAACTGTTTACTAGTGCACACATACATTTACATAATAATTCATTCACTCTTACAGGACTCTGCCAGAAACATGCAGGTTTCAATACTATAATCTAGAACCATGTCAAAGGAATTTATTTCTCTATAGTTTTGCACTAACAAGGTAGTTCGTTCTTCTTTAAAGAAACAAATTTGTCCTTTCCCTTATACTACTAGAATAGAAATGGCACTTGAATCATACAGTGTATATACCCCTCACTAGTGAGGAAATTCCAAAGTTGGCTATGATGGCTGGGAGCTGTAGCCTCAATACATCTGAATTGAAGGGTACCACCAAATTGAATTGACAGCAATATCTTGTTGATAGTGTTCAAAATTACCAGTAGCCTGTATTCATATTGATTTAACATTGTTTTCCACTGACATAGTTATTACTATATTAGATAAGAAGTAGGATGTGAATTGTTAGATGTGAAATTATTTCCCCATTCAGATAGCAATGTGCTGAATAGGTTATGGGCCCTCATTTGTCACAAAGTTATTGGAAAGAAGAACTATCACTTCCTAAATTCTCTGGAAGAAGGATAGGATACCAAAAAATAAAAAGCAAAACCATTATACTGTTGATTGATCACCCTGTTCAAATATGTCTCCTGTTCAAGTATGTCTCCATACTTATAACAGTACATCTAGATATGTTCAATGAGATTACCAAGGCACCAAAAGCATAAAGGATAGCAGATTGGAGTTAAATAGCCCAAGAAATAGTTACAGAGATAGCCAGATAAAAGCATGATGATGTAATTTGGAAACAAAGTCTGTAGTGCAATTTAGATGATTGAAACGTGAAAGTTCAGGTTACAAGTAAGGAAAGGTCAGAAGAACTAGAATTCAAAGCCAAGAACTGAAGAAATGACTATTTTAGTAACTACCAACCTTTAGCTGTTTTAAAGAACTCTACCTAGGGGTCAACTGTAAATAATTAGTGCACTTCTCAATGTCTCCTTTTTTGGCAACAAAATATATTGGTAGAGAAGTCTCCAATTGACCCAGATGGGAATTTCTTCTTCATTACAAAGAAATCCTGGACTCTTCCCAAATTTCTTGCACAGTATAATCAGAAAATTAACCTAACATAACATCTCAAACACTATGAACCTCCTGGCTAGCATCAGTTTTGCCATCAGACTTGATGAAAAGGGATAGATCAAATAGTCTAAATCAGGGGTGTCAAACTGCTGGCCTGCGAGCTGGATGCGTCACAGCAAAACTGCACCCACCGGCAATGGGAAAAAAGTCACGATACATCGCGACATGTCACGTGATGTTGCGAGTTTGACACCCGTGGTCTAAATAGAAGAAGAGAACATAGTGTCTAGAATACTTTGTAGAAGATACAGCATATGTGAACCTGATGCTGTATCATTATACCACTTCATAGTAAATATATGTGATTTTCTACATTTCATGGAATTCTTGACTATGGCTAAGTGATAAATTAAACCAATCTGATCTTCTCTGATACCTATTTTAATCTAATTTCTCTCACTAATAGCTTGATCTTCATAAAAAATGTAGGACTTCCATTACAAGAAAATAAGGTTTACACAGCAAAATGTTGCAACACTAGAAAACTATATTTTAGTTTGGTAGAATGATATAATACTTTCAGTTTTTACAATTAATTATAATATTCTAGAAAATTATAAAAAACATGAACTTCATCATTCATTTTTTAATTTGTATGTTTTTATATTTACCCATTTTAATGTTCAATAAAAACATATAAAAGTTTTCCAGAAGGTCCATCTGTTTTTATTTTATTTGGAGGAGGTGAATTTGAGTCAGTTTCTAACTCCTGGCAACTATCTGGATTAGTCCCTGCAGTTTTCTTGGCAAGTTTTTCTTTGGAAGTGATATTTTTGGAAGTGGCCATTGTCGGCTTCCTAGCACAGAGAAAGAGTGACTGGCTCAAGGTTACCCAACTGGTTTTGTGCGTAAGAAAGACTAGAACTAAGCATCGCCTCATTTCTAGACTAATGCCTTAATGACTACTAGCTAATTTGTAATAACCATACTGTACTTTTCATGATAGTATACAAAGTCTATAGCATCATTAATGCATAACACATTTCTTTTCTTATGCCAGCACCATTTTAACACCTTTGCTGTAATTTATAAAATGTAATTTACTAAAAGTCTTAGCAATCCATATACTTTTCCAGAAATATTCATGCCATTTTCTTTTGTAAATTGGGAACATTTTCATACTTAGCAGAATTTATTAAAGTATGTTGTATCTTTATTTCCATCTGTCAGCACCATATACTCTTTTCAACATTGGAAAAATGCAGTTTTGGTGCTAAATGGGGATTAGAACTCGGTATCATGATGAAGCTGAAAAAACTTTTAGGGCAAGAATTGAGAAAAGCACCAGGTTGGGAAAATGTTTTAGAGTACTGATCAGTATTAATCCAAATATTTGATCTTATTTTAACAATTTAAAGACAGTAATAGTTTATGGGATTATTTATAAAAAGTAAATCAGACATCCCTGAAGTGAGGTTATCATATAATCTGATTTACCAGTCTATACAGCCTTCTCTAAAAATAATGGCACCTGTTGTCTAACAATACTGAAAAACATCCAACAAGCAAGGGTATGAAAGTTGCTTCCCGCCTGAAATCATGCTTGTATCCATATGAAGGACAGATTTTTAATTTAATTTACAGGAGATAATTCCACCAATTATATACACAAAAAGCATATTATCCTGCTGTATTCAGAGACCATTATAGAAGCAGCAGATTGCATTAATTTAAAGAACCTCAAAATAGATGCACAAATAAACCCATGTGCAACATAAAAGGGACAAAGGAAAACTCCTTACAATTAACACTCAGCTTTTCCATTCAGGACATGTCTATGCTATGCTGTACTGAATGAAAAACCTAAGCAGACGCCACAAATCTTAAGATTCAGTGGCACCTAATAGTATCAACTCTTATAATTTCAAAACACCTATGGAAACAAGCTCTGTTAATAACGCACAGTAAGATTTAGTGGTTCCTAAATGAGAAGATAGTCAAGCAAAACATTACAGTGTGCAACAGATACAGAAAAAAAAGAGGTAAAGATAAGGAAGTTATTTTTTTCGCCTTTCCCCAACAGCCTCATCCAGGTGGTCAGATACTCCTCCATCTCTGACTGGGCAGTTGCCTGGTATCGCATTTTAGGACCCAACATAGGGGCCAATGACAAGTTACACAAAGTTCTGCTAAAGTACAGCGTACTACACCTCTATACATGTTTCCTTCAGAGCCCTGACATACTTATCTCTAGAAACTATAGATAAATCTAAGTCTTATTCTTCGTGTATTGACCTCCAGGAAGTCACCCGGATCTCCACGCCTCTGTTAACGTCGGCATGCAAAACTTAGGGAGGCGCGCGCGCACACATACAGGCATTCGCTCGCTCACTCCTGCTCGGCTCAGAATCCACCCAGCTCTGTTTCCTTTCCCTCTCGCTGCACACCTTGGGAAAGACCCTTTCCTTCCCCCCCCCCCCCCCCCC